ACCACAGTGGATTTCTTATTTATAAAGACACCTTTACTATAAAGGGAAATAAACAGGAATGTTGTTGAAATACTAATAAAAAGTGCTTAAAGCTTTTCAAATACTCGACTTCTTTCTTTCAAATACTTGACTTTCTTCTTTCTTCTCTTTCTATGAACCCCAAACCTTTTTAACTGATTGCCCATGTAGTGTCAAGCTTGTTAACACTTGAGTTGCTGGATCTAGTGACACTACTGTAATACTGTAGCGTATTTAATTTGCAGTGTAGATTAAAGTTGCAATATTTTATCTTCACTGGTGATATGCTTCATTCTTTTCAGATCAGTGTTTATAAAAACCATGTTTATAGGCATCTATCGACAGCTGAATAGGATTGTTCTCAAAAACCTTGATTCACTTAATGGAAAAGGATTAAAATTTCTTCAACATTATTATCTTCCTCTGTAGGAGGATTAAATTGATATACTTGAAAAAATGGGGATGGGGGGAAGGTGTGTCTGCTGTTGGTTTAGGTTTCTGTTTTAGTATGCTCAAACCAAGAGAGAAATCCCATCTACTGAGAATACTGAATCCCACAGTATCAATTTAAAAAACATACTTCTGGTAACTGATCTATTTTTGTGTGGTATACGGTGTGCTGAAATCTGCAAGTGGATTGTCTAATAAAGGTATTGGACTGAAGATCAACATCCCACAGTAAAGTGACTGCCTTGTTTCTTGCATCATTTCAGATCAACCTTAGCTAGTAGATTCAGGAACAGCTAGGTGAGATTAAGTACTGCCTTGGCCAGGAGAAGGACTAAATAAACTTGCAGATCTCTACTGCATTTAACTTTCAGGATTTTATAGAAAATGATCCTTCTGTGACTAAGGCCTCAGCACTGCCAGAACTCAGACTAGACTGAACCAAATAAAAGATCTGTTTTGCTTTGCTTGTTCCTTTTTGTAATCAGTAACCTGTATTTCCAGATATTGGCTTATCTGAATGCAGCCAAAAAGTATGTTTCTAGTACCTACACTTGCAATAATAATGTGCATAAATGGACTGACAGAGGAAAAGAAACTAAGGAAACACTACTTTAGTAATGTTATTCCTTACATAATAAGAAAGACATCAGAGTGAGGCAAGCCAGAGTGAAGTGAAGCAATTCAGACATGCCACAAAAGGGTCACAGCTGAGGTACTCTGACCTGGACTGCAAGGTCCTATTCTGAAGGACCTTGATCAGGTCTTTCACTAGCAGGACATTCCATCTTACTTGGGAATGACTGTGAATTGTACGGTTATGCTGATGTGCCACACAGGGGAAAATCATTTAAATTCCAAACTATTTTAACTAACTAAACAATCCAGGGATTCAGAATTTTTTTTTTTTTCAAAATCAGGGCTTAATTTCTGATTTGATGAGCTGCAGTTTACTAATAAAATGCTAGCAAAGACAGGAAGATAGGTTGGGATTCCTATTTCATCTCTGTTATCAACAAATGTACTGGCTAAAATCAAGTTTCAAAAACTTTCAGTGGAGCAGGCAGAAACAATCTACATTGAATTTTTGAAGTTTAGGTATGTCCTACAAGAGTCAGGTTCGCTGTTTCATTGTAACATTGAAATTACAGAAGTGTAGTTAAATTAGGGTTGAAATGATGGCTCAGAAGGACCAGGCTAGGAAAGAACTGTTAACTTTTGTCTTCTGGACTTTGAAATGCTAGGAAGTAAATCTTTCTTTCAACCCATTCTTCCCTAGCTGCAAAATACGATAAAATATTGAGTGGAGTCTATTTTCACTCCGGAGAATGGGAAAGAGGAACAGATTCTTTCTACATTCACAACATCAAGTCAATAAACCAGTAAGCAAAACTAGTTATCTTTTGAAAACTATTCTATCATTTGTACATCATAACCTTCTAAAGACTTGTCTCCTGTCAGAGAAACTTCATAATTTGCATCAGAATTGCCAGTTGACCAATGTTGATAGACACACATGGGAAATACTAGAAAAGGTTTCTTTCTCCTCCTACTCATACAGCTGGAAAAGAAACCAAATAGGATGGGTGATTAGCTAATTACAGAGCCTTTGGAAAGTATATGGACAGCTACATAGAAAGTACATGGGCATAGCTGAATTCTTTTGTTTCCCTCTTCTTTTTTCCATCTTCAAAAAAACTCCTTTAAAATAAAAGGTCTTTTTTCCTAATGTAAACTTCCCTGCTTCTCTCCCTTCCTAAATGATTATTTTGTTCCTGAACGAGCAAGTACAGAAGAACTTCCAGAAAAAAAAATATTCCTAGTTTCAGACCAGGAATG